TGAATTATTCAGATGAGAACTGGGTGAAAGTGATATGGTTAGATGAGACCAAAATCTTTGGCATCAACTCAACTGGCTGTGTTTGGAGGAGGAGGAATGTTGCCTATGATCCCAAGAACACCATCCCCACCTTCAAACATGGAGGTGGAAACATTATGCTTTGGGGGTGTGTTTCTGCTAAGGGGACAGGACAACTGCCCCACATCAAAGGGACGATGGACGGGGCCATGTACCATCAAATCTTGAGTAAAAACCTCCTTCCCTCAGCCAGTGCATTGAAAATGGGTCATGGATGGGTATTCCAGCATGACAATGACCCAAAACACAAAGCCAAGGCAACAAAGGAGTGGCTCAAGAAGTAGCACATTAAGGTCCTGGAGTGGCCTAGCCAGTCTCCAGGCCTTAATCCCATAGAAAATCTGTGGAGGGAGCTGAAGATGCGAGTTGCCAAACGTCAGTCTCGAAACCTTAATGACTTGGAGAGGATCTGCAAAGAGGAGTGGGACAAAATCCATCCTGAGATATGTGCAAACCTGGTGGCCAACTACAAGAAATGTCTGACCTCTGTGATATGCCAACAAGGGTTTTGCCACCAAGAACTAAGTAGAAGGGGTCAAACACTTATTTCACTCATTGAAATGCAAATCAATTTATAACTTTTTTGACATGCGTTTTTCTGGATTATTTTTATTTGTATTTTGTCTCTCACTGTTAAAATGCACCTACCATTAAAATTATAGACTTATCATTTCTTTGTCAGTGGGCAAACGTTAAAAATCAGCAGGGAATAAAATACTTTTTTCCCTCACCGTATACAATATACATTTTCAGCCAAAAAAAAAAAATTGTCTAACGAATTGGTTAGTTCGATTCAGTCAAGCCAGCACTAGAACTGGCACAGGGCATAACCCTTAACCTCTTTCTGACCTCAGACGTGAAGGGTACGTCCGACAAAAATGGCAGTTAACGATCGCAGACGTACCCTGCATGTCCGCGGCAAAAATGACCCGGGTACTCACCTGGACCCCAGCAGTCCCCCTGCAGCAGCTCCGGCCTCTCCGGCCCTCACATGGAGCTGCCAGCAGGGGGACTGTCTGAGCAATCAGGCAGTCCCCCAGACACCTAAAGTGTAAAAAAAATAAAAAAAATTAAAATAAATATATTATACATATATTATATATGTATAATATATTATAAAATAATTAATGATTTTTATAATATACATATATAATGCATATATATGATTGTATTCTAAGTGTACTTTAAGATATATACACATATATCTCAAAATACACTTATAATGTAATCATATATATGCATTATATATGTATATTATAAAATGCTTTAATTTTTTATATATTATACATATATAGAAAATGAAAACATGTGTGTGTGTATATATATATACATACATATACACACGTATTTTATATATATATATATATATATATATATATATAAAACAAATGGATGAAGGGAGCACACTAAGACTTCCTTAGATAATTGAAGAAAAAACTAATAAATGCCCTATTTGCAATACCTTGGGTTGTCTACTTTTGCAAATGGTATGCCATCATGGGGGTAATTCTTATTCCTGGGCTACCATACGGTCTCAAAGGCAGCATAACCAATTTAGCAAATTTCAATGAAAAATATGAAATGGGCAAGCTTTATAATTGACCCTGTTACTTTCAAAAACACTATAAAACTAGTACATGGGGGGTACTGTTATACTCGGGAGCCTTTGCTGAACACAAATATGAGTGTTTCAAAACAGTAAAACGTCTTCATTGATCAAGACATGTCACCATTGACCATTTGTCGCCAGCATGAAATGACTTCAGAACAGTATATAACACATTTATTGTGTACTATATGATTGTCTGCAATGTGTAACCCTTTGCGCAAGTGGGTCAGCAAAATGCAAACTCTTGCACAACAAAATCTATATACTGCTTGTGGATAATAGGACGTGCATTTCCATGGCAAGTCACTTGATATTGGATTACATTATTGATGTTTTTGAGCTTTATCTCTTTGTTTTACTATCTTTTTACTATCTTTCAATCTACAGGTATTAAAGTTTACAGACTGTGAAAAAACAAACAAAAAACAAACAGGAAAAAGTCTCAAAGGCAACAAATAGCAATTTACAAAAATAGAAATGATTGAGGGGTACTGTTGTACTCGTGAGACATTACTCTACACAAATATGAGTGTTTTAGAGCAGTAAAATGTATTATACTGATAATATCATTGGTGAAATGGCAGTTTAAGTGTTAAAAATGCAAAAAAACTAATATAAACGTTAATTTCGGCAAGGGTTTGTGACTAAGTGGATACTAAAAAAGAGTGGACATACCCTATTTTGAATACCGTGGGTTGTCTACTTTAAAAAAAATATATGGTTTGATGGGGGTAAATTACATTGGTCAGCTTAAAAAATGGCCCAAATAGGACATGGGTGCATGATGGCCAGCTGTGAAAATTCCAAGTTGGAATACTATAACGCGCACCATCCAAATAAGGTCTTTTAGCCCACAGATAAACCGACACACCTATACATGGGTGGTATCAATATACTCAGGAGATGTTGCTGAACACATATTGGGGTGCTCTTTGGCAGTAACCCTTAATGTTCTAAGTACATGTATTCTTAAATTGCTATGTGTGTCAAAAAATTACCAATTATTAAAAATTTTAAAAAATTTGGCATAGATTGGTGGTAAAATGGTTGCATGGAAAGAGTCAAAATACCCCAAGTTTAATACCTTAGGTTGTGTTCTTTAAAAAAATATATACATGTGAAGGGTTATTCAGGGATTCCTGACAGATATCAGTGTTACAATTTTTTTTTTTTAAATGGTTTGGAAACAGCAAAGTGCTACTTGTACTTATTGCCCTGTAACATACAAAAAAAAAAGCTAAGAACATGTTAACATTGGGTATTTCTAAACTCAGGACAAAATTTAGAAACTATTTAGCACAGGTGTTTTTTGGCGGTTGTAGATGCATAACAGATTTTGGGGGTCAAAGTTAGAAAAAGTGTGTTTTTTTACATTTGTTTCATCATATTTTATAATTTTTTTATAGTAAATTGTATGATATGATGTAAATAATGGTATCTTTAGAAAGACCATTTAATGGCGAGAAAAACGGTATGTAATATGTGTGGGTACAATAAATGAGTAAGAGGAAAATTACAGCTAAACACAAACACAGCAGAATTTTAAAAACAGCCCTGGTACCAAACGATAAGAAAATTGAAAAGTGGTCTGGTCACTAAGGGGTTAAAAAGATATTAGTCATGGCACATCACAAACCAACACAGATATCATGCATACTCACATACACCTGTCAGCAAACTGTGCCCACCTTTTATACCTCCCTCCTCCATTTTATTGTCACCTACTCTTCTCCTAAATCTGCAGTTAAAGGATACTCTATAACTCTGAATTATGTGTATTATATTATAGTAAACCTTGTAGCCTTCACATTCTGTATATTCTTAAGAAAGATACAGAAATTAGGTGCTCACTATATACTTAAAGGCAGCAGTCAATCATATAAATCATATATACATACTTTATATGTCTATGGAATCTTTATCTGTTATACAGTGTCTGGTATCTCAGAAAAAAAGATAAAAAGAAGGAGACAATAATTGTGCAATATGTCCTTAAAAATAGGATAAAGTGCTGTATCGAAAGCTCACTCATAATTTTTAGAGCTGCAAAGAGCTCTGCTGTATTAGGTGTAGGCGGTACAACCCCTGTCATATGATATATATTCAGCTGTAATTATGGTGTGCTTTGCCGGTATATGAGATATGTAGAGACAAGAATAGGAATATCCAATAGTGCAACATGTATACAAAAGTGACTATGCGTATACAAAAAGTAAGTATCTTAGTCACATGGACTAGAGTTGTGCTGGTATGATCCTAACCTGGGATATATGTGAATCAGGAAGCCAAAATGAATAAAATAATAATCCAAAAAGAATTTTTTAAAAATTTTTTTTTAAAGATTCATTTTATTACAATAAACAAGATAGGTATTAAAATACTCTATAAAACAGTCAAGATAAAAGGTAGAACCACACTATGTGTTTCACCTTGGGTGTTTCATCTGAAAAGTCATGATGAAGAGTTCAGCTATTTTAGCTTTAAATGTCTGACTTAAGTGAATAACCTTTCGGAAGTAAGGAATAATCTGGTTGGCTACAGTGGAGTTATCAACACTAAGGTTCATTGCTGCATATTGCTTACTACCAAACACTTATGGAATCATTGGTGTAAAAGTGGAAATACATTATTGGTTCCAAGATGTCCTTACTTTAAGAATGTGTCGAGAACCAGAGCTTCTGGATCTGGATACCTGCTGAAAAGTCTCAAAACCTGACGATTGAGATGAAATACAAACAAAACTTCCTGCAGAGGGCTCCAAAGCTGGTTGATCCAAGAAATAAAAATAGCTGTTAATAATGAGTAACCTGGAGTTTCAGTCTGCCATTGTTTTCAATAAACCTGGGAGATATTGCACTTACAGCATGATATATCAATCAAGGCATTAATGCCATACCATTTCGACCATTTCAGTTAAAGGGACACTGAAGGCACCCAGATTACTTCAGCTAATTGAAGTAGTGTGGGTGCTGTGTTCCTTTTGCACTTAGTGCTGCAATGTAAAACATTGCAGTTCCAGATAACTGCAATGTTTACATTGCAGCTCTAAGTCTGCCCTCTGTGACTGTCTACCAGACAGCCACTGGGGGAACTTCCGGAAACCTAACAGACTTTGGTCCATTATCTGACACTGGACGTCCTAACGTACCTCTAGCGTCAGATTCCCCATAGGAAAGCATTGTAGGCTAGGCTCGTGGCTGCCCAGGAGAACGCTCTCTCCGGCGAATGCCTGAGTGTGGGTATCCACCAGAGAGAGGGGTATGCGCCATCAGGGAATCCCTGGGGCTGTGAGTCGGTCTCACAGCCGCAGGGTTCCCGCTGGCCGCATGGAAGTCTGTGCCGACCAATGGGAGAAGGAGCGCCCATTCAAACTGGGTTTGCGCCATTCTCCTGGTTGGTTGGCACAAGTAAAGCGCCAATTGGTCGCCGCAGGGAGCGGGAGACCAATCAGAGAAGGAGCGCTTGTTCAAACAGGGTTTCGCGCCCTTTCTTATTCACCATGGGCACCGATTGGTGCAAATTGGTTTCGCACCTTTCAGCGGGTTGGTGCAATCGGGTTTCGCGCCCTTTCCCCTGATTGGGCGGCGAAACTCCCCTCCCCTGAATGCTGATAGGCATGATTTGGTTCACGCCCTTTCAGCTGATTGGTTGTTGCTTGGTTTGAATTCACCGGACTAAAACAAGCAACACCATGGAACTAATTTCGGGGATGTACAGAGCCTTGAGCCCCAGACTTTCAATGCTGATATCTGCGGCTCTGTACATCCGATCGCCCCGCTTTTTGTAGGGATCCCAGATGGGACCTGGGGCTATCTAGTAATGTAAGATCTAACCCTGTAACCCCTTCCCTTCCATGGGCGCCAAGCCCCAAAGTGTAACCCCCATGTAATGTGATTTAAAGTGTAAACCAAGGCGGGAGATGGCTATCTGTAACCCAGCCCCCTCCTGCCTGGGGCTAAGGGAAGTGTATTATGTGTAATGGAGACCCCCTGCCGGAGTCTGTGCATAAAAGAAGCCTGTGTTTAATAAAGAGTGTGATTCAGCCTGGTGAGAGGCCAGTGCTTAAACCTCCAAACTGTGTGGCGTCCTGTTATTGGAGGGAGGGAAGATTTAACCCCTGTGTCTGCTGTTTCAGCTTGCAGGGGATTCAGAAGATTTAACTCCTGTGTCTGCTGTTCCAACTTGCAGGGCATGAAAATAGGGGAAAAGTCCTGGTAAGGACTAAGTGTCCTGAGGCAGAGACTGAGTGTCATCTCTGCCTGGGAACAAGATACTAGGAAGTCGCCCCGCTACACATTTGTATGTATTTTAATTCTTTATATTGCACTAAAGGGTTGTAATATTTGATCCATACCACTTAACTCACCATCTAAACAAGGGGCGGTTATCCTTTTTCTTGTTTTGCTTTACATTGCATAAAAGGCTGATACTGCCTAGCTCTCATGCTAGGAAATATTGTACACACACAATACAGCAGGAAGTTGGCGCTAATTAACAGACAATACGTAAATAGGCAGCAACCCAAATGAAGAGAACCCCTCAAATCCTTCCACAAATCGAGAAAGCAATACAGAGATGGGGTAGGGCTGCGCCAATAAAGATAAAATAGTCCCAAATAAAAAGTCTCACTAGAGCAGCAATAGACAGTCAGGGATACTTGATAGAATGTAGGTAGATGAACTCAGTAGAAATAGGTACGTCAAAATGTCTCAAGATGTTCATTTGTATATGGAGACAAAAAGAGAGACGGGGGCAACTAATAGTGCAATAAGTCTAAAATCCAAAATACAATATAGTGGCAAGAGGTAGAAAACTCACATTTAAAAGAGCTATGACATTTAAAGGAGCTATGACCAGCATGACCGGTTTGAAGGGCGTACAGCGGTATAATCCCCGCTTATAGGATGTGTAGAGAAAGTGAGTCCGTCAACACCGTGTGGTTTTCCAAGGCTCCAAAGAGAAATAAAAAAGGCAACAAAAGTGCTCTCAATTATGATAAAAATAGTATAGAAGTAGATAAAATTAAATTAGGGGCAAAATTGGAAAAATTAAAGAGATGGATAATATATGGTGTAATATGTTAATAATAAATAAATCAAAGAAAACTCATAAAATTAAACTCACAAACATAAAGCATCAGAAATAAAAAATAATGCCCTAGTCATAAGAGACCTCTTATCTCCAGTATAGTCACCCAACAAATCGCTCACGACCACAAGACGTTTTTGTATGAAAAATGCAGGCCCCTGTGAGTGAAGCAATCAACTTCCAGTGGAGTGGAAACAACAAATAGTGTTATAAATCCCCAACAGATATTTGACGTGTTTCGTCTATAAATAAACTTTCTTGACTCTTAAAAAACTGAATGGATCTTCAAATGAAAAACATTTGACAAAATGATTTAAACAATTAGATAGACATAATAATTAATAGCCTGTGTGTATATACACTGCTCAAAAAAATAAAGGGAACACTTAAACAACACAATGTAAATCCAAGTCAATCACACTTCTGTGAAATCAAACTGTCCACTTATGAAACAACACTGAGTGACAATCAATTTCGCATGCTGTTGTGCAAATGGGATAGACAACAGGTGGAAATTATAGGCAATTAGCAAGACACCCCCAATAAAGGAGAGGTTCTGCAGGTGGTGACCACAGACCACTTCTCAGTTCCTATGCTTCCTGGCTGATGTTTTGGTCACTTTTGAATGCTGGCGGTGCTTTCACTCTAGAGGTAGCATGAGACAGAGTCTACAACCCACACAAGTGGCTCAGGTAGTGCAGCTCATCCAGGATGGAACATCAATGCAAGCCATGGCAAGAAGGTTTGCTGTGTCTATAAGCGTAGTGTCCAGAGCATGGAGGTGCTACCAGTGATGTACTGACAGGCCAGTACATCAGGAGACGTGGAGGAGGCCGTAGGAGGGCAACAACCCAGCAGCAGGACCGCTACCTCAGCTTTTGTGCAAGGAGGAAAAGGAGGAGCACTGCCAGAGCCCTGCAAAATGACCTCCAGCAGGCCACAAATGTGCATGTGTCTGCTCAAACGGTCAGAAACAGACTCCATGAGGGTGGTATGAGGACCCGATGTCCACAGGTGGGGGTTGTGCTTACAGCCCAACACCGTGCAGGACGTTTGGCATTTGCCAGAGAACACCAAGATTGGCAAATTCACAACTGGCGCCCTGTGCTCTTCACAGATGAAAGCAGGTTCACACTGAGCACATGTGACAGACTTGACAGAGTCTGGAGACATTGTGGAGAACATTCTGCTGCCTGCAACATCCTCCAGCATGACCGGTTTGGCAGTGGGTCAGTAATAGTGTGGGGTGGCATTTCTTTTGGGGGCCGCACAGCCCTCCATGTGCTCACCAGATGTAGCCTGACTGCCATTAGGTACCGAGATGAGATCCCCAGACCCCTTGTGAGACCATATGCTGGTGCGGTTGGCCCTGGGTTCCTCCTAATGCAAGTCAATGCTAGAACTCATGTGGCTGGAGTGTGTCAGCAGTTCCTGCAAGACGAAGGCATTGATGCTATGGACTGGCCCGCCTGTTCCCCAGTCCGGAATCCAATTGAGCACATCTTGGACATCATGTCTCGCTCCATCCACCAACGTTGCACCACAGACTGTCCAGGAGTTGGCAGATGCTTCAGTCCAGGTCTGGGAGGAGATCTCTCAGGAGACCATCCGCCTACTCATCAGGAGCATGCACAGGTATTGTAGGGAGGTCATACAGGCACGTGGAGGCCACACACACTACTGAGCCTCATTTTGACTTGTTTTAAGGACATTACATCAAAGTTGGATCATCCTATAGTGTGTTTTTCCACTTTAATTTTGAGTGTGACTCCAAATCCAGACCTCCATGGGTTGAGAAATTTGATTTCCATTTTTTAATTTTTGTGTGATTTTGTTGTCAGCACATTCAACTATGTAAAGAACAAAGTATTTAAGAAGAATATTTAATTCATTCAGATCTAGGATGTGTTATTTTTGTGTTCCCTTTATTTTTTTGAGCAGTGTATATATATATATATATTTATATATATATATATATATATATACACACACAGCAGTGGCAGATCCGGGGGGGGGGGCAACGGGGCAATTGTCCCCCCCCCCCCGAGATTCTCCCCTGCTGGCTGATGCAGGGCTGGCTCTGTCCAAATGCCAGCCCTGCAATGTGCCTGCGGACCGGAGAGGGAGATAAGAGATCTTCCTCCCCGGTCCCCAGGCACTGTGCGGCAGCCGGCAGAGGAGGGAGGGAGAGAGGACCCGGGGAGCTCTAGCCTGCAGCTCCTCCGGGTCCTACTCTCGCGAGCATGGAGCGTTGCCGCGGTTACCACGGCAACGCTCCATATCTCGCGAGAGTGAACTCTAGCCCTGTAGCACGGGCTAGAGTTCACCTCACCATCACTGGAACCACCAGGGAATCCCCATCGGACCACCAGGTATCCAGAATTTCCCCCCTCCTCCCTCAGTAAAGGTAAGAAGGGAGGGGGGGGCATAAGAATATTAGACATATAATATAATATTATAATATTAAACATATAAGAAGGGTTGGGAGGCTTTTTTATAATATGTGTTTGTTTTTCTTAAATGTAATTATTATGTATGTATGTATGTATGGGGACAGTGTATGTGTGTGTGTGTTGGGGGGAGCAATGTGTGTGATAAGAAGGGTAGGGGGCTTTTTTATAATCACACACACATTGTCCCCCCTCCCCCACACACATTGCCCCCCCTCCCCCACACACACATTGTCCCCCCCTCCTCCCCACACACACACTGCTCCCATACACACACACACTGCCCCCCCCAGTGGCGTACTAAGGGGGGGCGCAGGGGGCGGTCCGCCTCGGGTGCCAGCAGGGTGTGGGGTGCCTTGGGAGGGGGCGCCTGCCCCCCCCCATGCTGCAGCCGCACGAGCGCTCTGTAGAGAGCCTCAGGCGGCTGCAGCTTTGCCCGGGCGGTGCGTCCAGGAGGGCGGACTGCCCGGGCGCAGCCTGAGGAGAGGGGCTGACAGAAGGAAAGTGCTCAGCGCTCCATCCTGTCACTCCCTCTGTTGTAGCGTGGCTGAGTGGCAGTGACAGGGAGCATCTGTCTCCTGTACCCGGCCGGACTAACAAGAAGTGCACACTCAGTGTGCACTTCCTTTTAGTCCGGCCGGGTACAGGAAACAAAAGCTCCCTGTACCCGCGGACCATAGAGCGCTCGGCCACGCTACAACAGTGGTAGGGGGGAGGGGAGAAAGAAATTAGGAGGAGGTGGGGGGGAGAAAGAAATTAGGAGGAGGTGGGGGGGAGAAAGAAAGATTGGGAGGAGGGGGAGGGAGAAAGAAAGATTGGGGGGGAAAGAAAGATTGGGAGGAGGGGGGGAGATTGACATTCATCACACACACATACACACAATGCACCCCTTGCACACAGAAACACACAATGCATTCATTACACACACTCAATGCACCCCTTACACACATTCAATGCATCCCGTACATACACAGAAACACACCTTGCAGCCCTTAAACATACAAACACAGTTTCACACAATGCATTCCTTACACACATATCAGGACATCCCCTACACACTCCACCCCCTGTGAACAAACTCATTGGTGGAACATGAAGGTGGACCCTGGGACCCAGACCTTGAGCTGTGTAAATGCGCGCGCATTCAGCCGGTCTCATAGGAAAGCATTTACAATGCTTTTCTATGGACGCTTGCGTGTTCTCACTGTGATTTTCACAGTGAGAATCACGCAAGCGCCTCTAGCGGCTGTCAATGAGACAGCCACTAGAGAATTTGAGGGCTGGATTAACACATTTATAAACATAGCAGTTTCACAGAAACTGCTATGTTTATAAAAAAAATGGGTTAACCCTAGCTGGATCTGGCACCCAGGCCACTTCATTAAGCTGAAGTGGTCTGGGTGCCTAGAGTGGTTCTTTAATGAATGCAGTTTTGTATTTGTAATGCTATTTGTAATGCTACAGTGCTATCCTTTAATTGTTTGTTATAAGCTATTGGGTGATCCAGATTGCAGCAAGATTAGTTTAAACTCAACCACAAGTGACAGTGGCAAGTGGTAAATTCACTAAGTTGCATTAGTCACAGACCATATATGCATTCTGTATACACATTACCCTGTGTTCAGTAGATAAATGTACGACTTTAGCTAAAACAGCCTCTCTAGATAACTCAAGAGGAATTATGGGACACCTATGAAATATTTAATATATTTATTTTTTTACTTTACAGGTGACTTCAGTCTTGCAGCTGTCCACCCTTATAAAAAAGCACTGAGAGGTCCATGCAGGATCCTGGTTGAATATTACCAATACATCACATCTAAAAACACCAGATATAGCCTCAGCAACACCCAACAAAGGAAACTGGAAGCTTTTAAGGAATATGAACTTTGATGAAAGTGCATTAAAATGTGCTGAATCCACACAGGACTAAAGGGGAACTGTCACGTCTTGTGATTTCTAATACAGTGTCTACTTATTTTTATAGTTTACAAATATGTAATTTTCTGTTGTTGAAATGCTCACCTGTATGCATCTGAGCACCTCCATCTAGGCTGCCTGAAAATTATTGTTACAAGCTCTGTCCTTTACTTTGTAGCAGGCATTCAGAATAGAGAAAGCATGCAGAGAATAGGAGAAAATAAACAATGTTACTGTTACTCCTCCTAGTATGCAATGTGGCCCTGGTTAAGTCTGGACTCTGAACTGGATTGTAATGCCATTTGCTATTTTTTTGTATACGTTTAAAAAAAAAAAAAATAGGAGCATAACATGAAAAAGGTTAACAAACTGTCTAGGTGATTTTTTGATATTCAAAGTATCCAATGGTGTAATTTCCATACAAGTGACAGTTCCCCTTTAAATCTTGGATAAACGCAACTTAGAACATCAAAGAGTTATAAGAACAGTCATATTGACAATTTACCTTTCTTTGTATGCTGTAAAAATGTAGAACATGTGTTTGAATTTTTATGTAATACTGATTTTTTTTTTAAATGGTTTATAAGTACTTATTGTTATAGGGTTTGAAAATTCAATGTTCAATCTAAAATTGTGAAAAATAAATCATTAACAATGCACACAGTAATTTACAAGAGTGTCCTTCAGAATATAATCAAATACCGGTAATCAACAAGCATGGAAACCAAAATGTAAGATCTTATAATGTGTTAGATGATATCACTGGCTTGACTTGAAATCATATACACGCTTATGAAATAATATGTAAACAACTAGGGTTTCCATATAAACATGAAGAGCACTTATGAATGCATCATGTTGTGGGCCTAGTAGTACTTATCATGAATATACTGCAGGCATAAAATGATATGGGTGGCATTCCATAATTCCTAATAATGTAATGCTAGTGCACCCTTGCATGCTGCTTGGTAACTAGGGATCAAAGTGATAGTATGTGTAAGTGATCCAGATTACCAATTGTATAGTCTTTGGTACTTGCCAATAGAGGTAAATCTTAAGAAGGGCTAACAATTTGGATAAAACAATATACAGATGGAGTGTAATATGTTTTAACCCCTTAGTGACCAAGCATTTTTCAAAATTCTTGCCGCTGGGACCAAGACTCTTTTTACATTTCTGCTGTGTTTGTGTTTAGCTGTAATTTTCCTCTTACTCATTTACTGTACCCACACATATTATATACCGTTTTTCTCGCCATTAAATGGTCTTTCTAATGATAACATTATTTTCATCATATCATATAATTTACAATAAATATTTTTATAAAATATGATGAAAAAATACAAAAAAACCCCCTTTTTCGAACTTTGACCCCCAAAATCTGTTATGCATCTACAACTGCTAAATAGTTTCAAAATTTTGTCCTGAGTTTAGAAATGCCCAATGTTAGCATGTTCTTTGCTTTTTTTGGAAAGTTATAGGGCTATAAGCACAAGTAGCACTTTGCTATTTCCAAACCAATTTTTTTCAAAATTAACGCAAGTTACATTGTAACACTGATATCTATCAGGAATCCCTGAATAACCCTTCACATGTATATATTTTTTAAAAGAAGACAACCTAAGGTATTAAACCTGGGGTATTTTGAATCTTTCCATGCAGCCATTTTACCACCAATCTATGCCAAATAGAAAAAATAAAATAATAATTGGTGATTTTTTGGAGACACATATCAATTTAAGAATATATGTACTGAGAACTTTAAGGGTTACTGCCAAAGAACACCCCAATATGTGTTCAGCATCACCTCCCGAGTACAGTGATACCACCCATGTATAGGTGTGTCGAGTTCTCTGGGGGTTAAAAGATCTTATTTGGAGGGTGCGCATTCCAGTTTTCCAACTTGGAATTTTCACAGTTGGTCATCATGCACCCATGTCCCATTTGGGACATTTTTGAAGCCGGACAACATAATTTACCCCCATCAAACCATATATTTTTGAAAAGTAGACACCCTAGGGTATTTCAAATTATGTTATTTTAACACTTTCCATGCACTAATTCTACCACCAGCCTTTGTCAAACATTTGGGTAGTCGTTTTTTTGTGTTATTTTTCTCTCACGTTGTACTTTAGGCATGGATTTTTAGTTCTGTTTATGTGTTACTGACAAAGAAACCCCCAATATGTGTTCAGCAACATCTCCCAAGTACAACAGTGCTGCCAATGTACAGGTTTTATGGGCTTTTGCAAACTTACAGGGGTCAAATGTAGGGTTTTCCATGTTTGCACATTGAAATTTGCCAGATTGGTTTGCTGGGCCTATGTTGCCTTTGAGACCATATAGCTACCCAGGAATTAAAATTAACCCCATCATAGCATTCCATTTGTAAAAGTAGGCAACCCAGGGTATTCAAAATGGGGTATGTCCAGTCTTTAGTATTAGCCACTTAGTCACAAACGCTGGCCAAAGTTATCATTTTTCTTAATTTTTTGCATTTTTTTTTTACACAAAAACTGCACTTTTACTGGTGATTTCATCGTCAGAATACGTTTTACTGATTTAACACTCATATTTGTGTTCAACGAAGTCTTCTAAGTATAACAATACCCCCCATGTACAAGTTTTATGGTGTTTTGGAAAGTTACAGGGTCAATATAGGGCTTGCCCGATCTAGTTTACCAGATTAGTTTGCTGCACCTTAGTTGTCTTTTGAGACCATATGGTAACCCAGGAATGTGAAATAACTCCATCATGGCATACCATTTTCAAATGTAGACATCCCAGGTGTGACGGACCGCTGGCACTCCGACCGAGTACCTCCGCCAATCGATGCTCCTAGTGCTTGTCGAAGACTCCGAGCACTCCAACCGACACCATCAGTACTGCGGACCCCACTTCCAGCGATGCAGCTGCGCCGGGTTCTCGCCGTCTCTCACCCACCATGGATCCACGACCAGGATCCAGCTCCCAGTGGGTGAACCTCTCCTAAATCCAGAGAGCGTAGCAGGAACAAATCAAGCTCTTACAAGAGCTTACTCTGGGGAGTAAGTGATTATAGCAAACCCCAGAGTGTAGGTATCCCTTCCCCCAAGCATGAGCCAAGGCTTCAAGAAAGGTGCAAGTAGATCTGGTTTATTGAGGGCTACCTGCCCGGTATTTATGCAAGTGTCCACCAGGTGGACACTCCTCTAGGGGACCTAATGGAACAATGGGACACATATTGGATATTAGTCAATCACAGACAATACAAACAAAACACTCCCACAGTGACATCACAATCCCTCCTCTCTATCCTGGAGATAATTGGGAAGTAATCAAATTATCTCCCGGGACAGAGGCAAGACAAGACATTAACCACATGGTTACAAAAAGACATAAAATTACACAATGTTACAATTACTACATAAAACATATATATGCAACATATCCCCAGATAGCTTAGATCTGAGCGCACATTATTACCGAATGGTGCCCAGATCACATACAGTTCAATTCAATCGCCATGGAGCCAAAGTCTTTTCCATAGTCTTTCGTTACACGAATTGACTCCATGGCATAGCTATCTGGGGTAGCACTACTCACATACTGGAAGTCCCGAACAACCCGGCAGAAATACCCAAATAAACTTTATTGCAGGGTAAAATACAGCTATCAGCACAGGGGCCATAGTCGGAAGGCAGGAGGCTAGCCAGTAGTCCCCTCCAGGCACAACTGGCGAAGGGCACTTCGTCACACATCTTCCCTTTGGGGGGAAGACTAAACAGGTACCTGACCTTCTGCCGGTCAGTACCTAGGTTAGTCGGGCAGCCCACCCACAAAGAAAAATACGCAGAGTAACCCCCCACAATAAATGGTACTGGCCTGTAGGTCCCAGGTTGTAGCAGGACAGTTCAGCATCCTCGGTCTCCCTGGTGCAGCTAAGCAAACAGCTGGGGCTACGTGGGGAGCAGAGGCCAGCGTTGCTCTGCCCTGATGCCAGCTCTTCCACTGGGATAGCCTGAACAGGCTCTGAACAAGGGACAAGGGTAGGGCAGAGGCCAGCGGTGCTCTGCCCAGGTGCCTGCTCTTCTGCTGGGAGGGGGTCAGTGGGTATTGCAGGTTCATCCACTGCCCCCAGGACCCGGTCGGGTTGTAGCTGTGGAGGGGAGGGCTCGCTTACCTCCTCCTCCTGGTATCCCTGCAGCGATAGTTGGGAATCTGGACCGCCCATCCAGCATCCCTGTAGGACTGGCACAGAGACCGCGGTCCCATCTGTGCCAGTGTGGTTAGGGTTGTTCTCCCCCTAACCCGGTATCTCCTGCTGCTGTGGGAGAGGGAGGCCGGCTGCCCCCACTCCCCAGGGCGCTGGTTGCTGTAAGGTGGGGGGATCTACCATCACTTCCTCCTGGAACTTAGGCCGCCACTGGGAAAAGAGACCGGTTGTCCCCTCTACCTGTGAGATGCCGCTGCCATTCATTCCAGCAAAATCCTCCCCTCTGCCTGTGATATAATTACTGAACACAATGGGCTAACGTAATTATCACAAAAATACACAGTTTTACACAATATTCATAACTTTAAAAGTATACATCACATTCACATAAAACTTACATTTTCAGAAAAAGGCTTAGAGACCTAAATTGGTCTTTCAGCCACATTTACTAATACTAAGTAAAGATTACTTAGTATTAGTAAATTCATCCCCTACTCGCTATACTGCGAGTAGGGGCATGTATAGTAAACAGTGAGCAGCCAGTGGCTGCTCACTGTAAAAAAATAAGAAGAAAATAAAAACCTATTGGCCCCCACCCCTGAACGGCAGGTGGGGGCCCTAAATTAAAATAAGGGGGGGACCTATTGTCAACCCCTGAGCGGCCCTAAATAACAAAGAGGTGTGTGGGGGCCCTACTGTCCTCCCTCCCGAGAGGTGGGTGGGGGCCCTAAATAAGAATGAGGGGGGGACCTACTGTCCTCCCCCCCGGCCCCCACCCCTGCATGGTGGGAGGGGGCCCTAAATAAGATTGGGGGGACCTACTGTTCCCCCCTCCCGCCCCCATACCTGCGCGGCGGGAGAGGGGGGGTGTAAGATTGAGGGGGGTGTAACCGCACCCCCAGGCATGAAAGGGGTTAAAAGCCGTTTAGGAGATATTCATAGAATGTGACGGCAGATAAGAACCATTCGGCCCATCTAGTCTGCCCAATTTTGTAAATACTTTCATTAGTCCTTAGCCTTATCTTATAGTTAGTATAGCCTTATGCCTATCCCACGCATGCTTAAACTC